AAATTAAGGAGAGAACAGAAAGAACCTACATTGCAGTTGCTAGGTAAGTTTCCTCCCTAAATTTCTGCGGAACTGTCATGAGCATACCCTCTTTGGTATCAAGTTTTAGTGCATCTGGAAGAAATATGCCTGATCCTTCTGCTTTCTCGGCTGCGTTTCAGTGACTCTGTGACCGTTATGACTTCTACTCCAGTCCAACAGTTGTTGTTCACTATTAGTTCTGCGTCTGGTGTTGGCATTTCTGGATGAGCTGTGGTTGATTCAGGCGTCGTTTGAAGTTATCATCCTCGAGTTTCCTGTGATCAATCTCTTTGGAAATGGGGTTTTCTTCAGTAACTTCTTATGTTGATCTTTTCTTGAATAGTGGCCTGTCACTCGTCACAGTGTCCTGGCGTCTTGCTTACCTACAGCCCGTTCGGATTCAGTCACTGTGTCGTGAAGTTGTCTTTTGTCCTTCATAGCACCCTATTTCGCTAAGTTTTGTTCAGTGTGCTCCAGACTGAACACAGCTTCTCCTTCTGCTGTTCGTCTTTTCACTGGTTCAGTTTTGTTCCACCATCTGTCTCTCCTCTATTAGTGTCCACGTGTCCGTAAGGCTATATTTCTTATTTTGCCCCTTCTTCTGTCTTGGAACAGCTATAAAAATTTCATTCAACATTACTTCCAGAGAGTCCCAGTTTTCATCCACGCAGGTTTCCTCGATGATGCTATGCAATGACTCCTTCTTTTCTCTGATATCAGCAGGGAAGGAAATCTGTGTGGGTCCATCCTTCAATTTATGGATGCTGAACGTGAATTGTAGTCTATCTCCAGCTTCTTTGACAGCCATCATTTTGACCCTGAGGGTTCCTTACACCAGATGACTATCTGAGCTCACATTTGCTCCTCTCCTGGGATTTGTATCTGAGTCTCCACTTAACTCAGATTGAGATAAAGTCTATCTGAATATTGTTGTGTCCTTCAAATGAAACTCCGTGCTTGTAATTGCTGCTGCTGAAATATAGACACAGAAACCCACAAAGAGTTCTCTGTTCTCATTCATTTCATTCAATGTCTCTCGACCTATGACCCATTCCATCCCCATTTAGAGGTTGGGCTCACCAGTTTAGTGACTGCGGGTATCGACGTTCGCGAGTTGTACGGATTATACTAACGCAAGATCTTATATCAACAACTTCTATAGTGTTCGTTCTTCGAGTACCAAATGGTAAAACAAAAGACCAGATTTTGTCGTCCAAAGTACGTATTATATTTCGGGACAAAATCGCGGGTAGAGGTGAATGCTTAGCTAGCTAGTAATCGTGCACGCACGTGACACGACGGAGCACCAAATGGCGGGGATGCTTGACCGTAAGCCTTCAGCTAAACAAGTCGACTTAAACAGTGATGGTCAGCATCCAATGTTGAGTGATGATTGCTGTGGTTAATAATTTTGGGGAATTATTTACCGCTACACCCACTATGTGAGACCATTCGATTCTGGTGGTCCCACTGCAATAGGTATAGGCTCAGTGTACACGTGGTATTCGCCTGGGTGACAGTAGTAGATTATTGACTCTACAGTTAACAATTTGGAGAGGCCATTTCCATTTCAGATGATACTATGATATGTCTTCTTATTTGTTTTACAGTCTTAGCAACCTCTTGAGCCTTAAACATGGTGCCATCATTCCATGCCCCTATCTTTACTTTTGCTGTAGATAGAAGAAGATACATCAGTCAACTGGTTTCCTGCAGGCTTTCACAGTTTGGCGTTATTCATCCTCGAAGTAAGCAGTTTTAATGCTTCTAGCGGGTGTAAAATTATATTTATGTAAGACAAAATTTCAATAAAGATTAGATTATCCTTACATGACGCAATTACTGAGATGAATATTAGATTGCATTTCCCGAAACAGAAACCGGGCATTTTCATTGGGAACATTAGGAGGGTTCAATTTTTATGCTCAGTAAGTCACAGATACATGTGTTCCCGAGCTAACGCTCGATAAAAGCACACACAGGTGTTCTGGAAGACATTTTGGGGATATTCTGTGTGACAGGATGTGTGCGTATGCTAACCTCTAACTGAAGCGTAAATATGAAAATCAGTGTTAGTTCGTTTCCCTTCAATGGTTAGTGCTTCGTGCCTAAGACTATCATCATTAACACAAAATTTCCAACTAAAAGGGCTGATTTAAAATTAGAATTGTTTATCGAGACAAATGGGAACTGCTTTTGCTGAAATTGCTACTTGGAGTTAAATCAGGTGCACAACACGATCGAGTTTAATCTTGTCCATGTCCGAGCAATGCTAAGAATAAGCATGTGGTCAGATTCATTTCTGGCAAAACTTAGATTGTCAGGAGCCAGTCACCATGTTTTGCAAGTCACACATTGCCCTGTAGCTGCTATATTATGTGTGGTAATTCGTTTGAAAGACAAATAAACCCCGTGTACTAATTGGAAATGGGCTAAAAGTTTCATCAACTATTGTCTTCTTCTTGATCAGCGGCAACATCTAATCTTAGTAGGTGATTACTTTAATAGATGGTCTGTCGGTAGTCGGCAGAGAACATCTACGTGCAGGTCGTCATGGTTAAGTGAATCCGTGACTGTTAAAGATATTGTGAAGTCAGAGAGCGGAAATATCAGTTGAATAGGTGTGCTTAAAACTATGTACCAGTAAACATATTCTGATGGAGGATGCGATGGGGCTTTCCCCTTGAGGCTTATATATATATATATATATATAATATCTGAGTAGTCACAGGAATCCAAATTTCTGAAAATTATGTCATCTCCCCCGAAGTCGTCAAAATTGAATTTGCTCAAACGGTCAAATATTCACTAAGATATCTGTGCAGTTTGATAGAAAAATAAAAACAAAAACTCGAAAAGGCAACGGAAACGTTAATACCAACTATCTGTTAGAATTTATTGAGATATCAAAACTCATCAGTAAGGATGAAGTAGTAATCAAAGTAGTGATGACGATGTTAATAGAAGATAATTCAAAGCCTTTTGAATGCTATTACAGAAGGAGCGGATATCTAAACCCTTTACTGAGTTCTTGGTAAAGTAAGAATTACTGTGAGATTCCACCCTTTCTCAGAAACGAGCTTTATTGACCAGACTACGGAGAATAATCTGATTTACCAAAAACTGAACAGTGAACTACATATGGTAAAATTATTATAATATTATTACCGTTTCATTTAATTCCTAGAGGAACATAGGGCTTCAGCCACACATCTCCACTGCTTTCGATCCTCTGCTAACGTTTTCATCTGGCTCCAGGTCTGGCCACATGCTTTTATCTCCTCTTCACATGACCTCCTCCAAGTCACCCTTGTACTGACTACTAACTCACCGCTTCCCGTTCGGGTTCCACTCGAGCGACTGCCTGGCGTGTGATGTCACTTGATGGTTTCCTTAGAGTATGGCCAATCCACCTCCATTTCTTCCTGCATATTTGTTGCACAGTCGGTTCCTGGTTGGTTCAATACAATCATTTAAATTACCAAAGAATGTGAATCCAGGTGTATGTATCATGACGGGACCCACTAAGATAAGCGTAGCAGAAAAAACTCAGCTGTTGGATTGTATGCTTCAACACAGTGACACATTGTGATGGGACGAGACAATAGTTTTTAAGACTGACATTATTAAATGAAAAAAAAGAACTTAACCGCTAAATCTTTGGTTATCAAATCAACACCACACAGATGAAACATGAATGATGCAACCACAATATAAGATATAAAGAAAATATTTTTACAGCTGAAATTCAAACACTGAAAGATAGTGTAGATAAATAGACGAAGTTAGAAAGTTACGTGAGTACTTTAGTACTATAATAATCAGTAAACTGTACAAAACGCCATCAATAAATATGGTATCAATGCCCGTTATGTCAAGTAAATTGTTGTACTATTGTATTACATACAATCCATCCCAGTGACCAATTTTCATTCACACACACACGAAGACTTTCAGCAGTCTAGTCACTATTCCTTTTTAACGTTTACTTATGCTTTTCCACTTTAATTCTTGGGAGAATATATTCATTCATGTAAAGACATTTATTCATTTGTGGTTCATAATTCTGAGAAACTTTTGTAAACCACAGAACTGCTTAGTAAAATCATAAGATTACATAGTCACCCTATGGTTGATGGATTATACATTCACTTATATGCATAGGCATAATACACATAAATGTCTTTTTTGTACACTATGAGCTGGTAAGTTCATCTCTGAACATTTCATTATGATGAAAGTTAGAATTTTACCACTAAGCTTTAAAAATGAGTAATAATTTACTGTCTCTGTATTTTTTTTTCGTGCACGTTCCCAGTGGAACATGGGACTTCAAGCTAGAGGCTTGAAGTTTCTGTATCAATGTTTATTTTACAGGATGAGGTTGCTAGCCTCATGCCCAACCTTTCCTCTTTACCAGTTTCACTACTGGCTTAGCGAGGTAAAGGAGTGAGTCGGCCGGGCATCGAACCCCGGACCATGTGCACAGTCGGCGAGCGTCCTAACCGCTGTGCCACCGACGCACTACTGTCTCTGTATACTTTCCAAAAATGCATAAATGAGGATTTTGGAAAATTATTTTAGTTTTACAAAGCGTTTGATTACGTAACTAACAATGAAGTAATCAGTGTTCACTACTCTGGATGTAACGACTCAATAAAAACTGGGCAGTTAACAAAAATGCACATTAAGCCATTTTGAGCTATTTTGTTTTCTATATAATTAGGTAGCTTTTACTGTCATTACTTAAAGTGGTTAGAAGCTGAAAAGAACAAACTGATTTGCCATTTAAGTTTTCATTTATTTGTAATAATCTAGTTTCTATTAAAAAGAATTATTATTACCATCATTTATCGTTATTATTATTATTGTTATTATCATTACCACATTTCTTGCCAGTCAATGCAAGTAGCCTCTTATTTTGTACAGGCAAAATTTATGTAGTTAACCAGAATACAGATCAGATCACTTTCATCATGTTAATCCTACAAAAGAAAAATAAGGAAAAAGTACGCTGAAAATACTGAAAATAAGTAGTAAGATTATCAAATCACATTTTGGAAATACAGACAGTTCACCAAATGTTATGCAGAATGATTTAGAGTTGTAGTGTTTCACAACTAGCAATACTATCTAACTGCCTAGTGCTCATCAGTAAACACTCAGATTGGTAACCTTTAATTCCAGTGTTAAAACAAGAAACATAAACAAATTTATGTTTCCTTAAGTAAAGCTATAGCCTAAATATGTATAATTTCGTATAAACTAATATGTATTGCATTGTATCAACAAAGGTAGTTTACAAGCCCTTACATTTAGCACAACATCAGATTAAATTCGATTGGGCCACTTTAGCTTCCATTATTTAACATGAACATCAGGCAGCAACCCTGTTGATAGATTGTTCGACTTTCTGCCTTATTGCTGTTGTATTTGGTAACTGCCTGTTGGGAAAACAGAGCATATATATATGTATGTATATATTGAATACTCGTTAGCAAGTAACTAGTGACACGCGTCTAGTCCTTTTGTGGTGAAGACCGCCGCAAACTTGACTGGTAGAATACTACCAAGTGTTCAATCAAAACATTTAATACAGGAGGTCATTCGCTAGCCCGAATAGCTCAGCAGTAACGTCCCCGCACCACAGGGTGACTCGGGTTCAAACCCCAGAGACGACATGAGCCCCTTCAAGCTTGCAAATACGCCTTGCTGATGAGTTCCAACCAGCACGAAACCTAGGTTCAAGGCTTCCTTCCAATTGCCTCCAACCATTTAATGCATATATATAATTTTTAAGATAAATGGTCATTCTATGTAAACTATTCACTATGGATAAGGTAAGTTAATTTCACTGGGAACTTTCTGGAGTGAATAGTAATAAATGAGCCAAAGGAGGTAGTAAGAACTTGAAGGATTTACAAATGTACTGATCAAATGAAAAAACAATGAATAAAATATATCTGAGTAGATAAATAAAATTTTGTTTCACATGTACCTGATTTCCAATGGGTACTTGATTTTTAGCACTATAATCCACTTCACGGTCAAAATCTGGACTTGTTAACCAGGCTTTCAAACGATTTAATGAAACACCATGTGAAAGTACGGTTTCATAGAGAATAGCAGCGAATAAAGAACCACACAAAGGACCGACAACATAAATCTATTTGGGGATAATTTGAAAAAATAAATGAAAGTTGGAAAACGACTAACTTGGCGCTGATAAATTTGTCAAGTTAATGAATGATAATATGCAGTTGCTTCAGAAGATGGTGCAACAAAATGTTTTCTTCTGATATATGTATTCAATAATACTGTTCATCTTTAGTATAACTCGGTAGCTTTTAAAAGTGGGCTTAAATGCAGGGATTACTTTGAAAAGATATTTCAACTGGGACTAAAAGGTGGAGAAATCTAGAAGACATATGAATACTATTCATTATTTTCACAAATTCTCAGAATTCTACGTAAACTTAACAAGAAAACCGATATTTGTCCAATTATTCAATAGATATGCTATAATAAAGTTTGTTCAGCTTTCCTCAGTATTTAATAAAATCTTTAAATTATTTAAATTCCATAGATGTAAGTTTTTCTTCACGTTCCACCCGATCCGTAAATAAAGGTTCCGGTTAATCATTAGGCCTTGTGAGCCTGTGTTACTATTAAGTACTAGCAAGCTAATTACTAGATTAAACGGCCTGTCTATCAGTAGTTGCATATATGTTGATCAGACTATCTGAACAGGTCATGGTTCGATAAACTGATTTTATTGCGGAGGGATGCAAATTGTGGGTGTATCCATATGGGGATAAAATCTATGAAAAATATGGGCAAATTGAAGAATGAAGCGCATACAACGACTGTCCTTTGATTAATATCTCAGGAATCAAATTTTTTCTGAGGACCCAGCCGTCATGATACATGTAAGTCAGAAGGTGACTAACCAGTCTTATGGAAAACTTTCAAATTTAGATTCATACTACTCAGTAACAAATGACAAGGAAATGTTTCGTCACGAGAAAAAAACAGTACATATTTTTCAGTAAAAATAAATACAGGCACATAAATGCAAGTATTGTGCTTAGGAATGTTTTCAAATATCTTATAAGTTAACTGCTGTCAAAGATTAGGTTGATAATTTATGAAGTTACAATTGATTTGACAACAGTTCGAACTATGACCTGTCCCCAGTCAGAGTCTTTTGGAAACCACGAAATAGTAAAGAGTTATTATTTCTCAATAGTGATACCTAAAACCACTACGTAGTTGCCACAAACTATGGAGTGAACACGTCGCACGATGACCACTGACTTTGAAATGGTCTTCCAACTCTATTTGATTTTCAATGGTCATCTGACTAAGGTCTGTCTAAATGCGCAAAACAATATACTCCTGGTGTAACGGTAGGAGACGAAGACTCGGTAAAGGAATGTTCATTAGCAATTTGGTATCTCTAAATGGCCAAAATGTGTACACCTTATCTTCAAATCAGAGATCTTCTGTGTTGTATTACGTCTCGCCTTCATACTGTGTTTCTTTGTGTTCGTTTCACGTCTCCCATGTATCTCCACAACGTTGTATCATTTGCTTTCTCTGACATCAAATGTATCTCCTTGCTATTTGATGTTTTTTATGACAATGAACTTCTCTTTGCATATATACTAATCACAAAACTTATCAGTAGCACACGCCACACCAGAAGTGTGTAAATTGCATATTAATTTGCAAATGGCGAATTCAGTTTAACGTATGTTTAATATAAAAGGTGGCTTAGCATGAGACAACAAAATTTAAAATTGCTGCAGCCATCACGTGAAAAAGAAATTACCTTAAAGTTACAATTGTTTAGGTCTTCTATACGGTTTTCACAAGCTTCCATTATGTTTTAAGTTGGTGCTTTAGACTAATTGCAAAATGTGGGCAAACAGTTATACTGAAAACTTGTAGAATACTAAACCATTATTTTGCGAGTGTTAATTTGAAAGTCAGACTTCAAGCGTTTTTATCCTAATGCTACCGAATAATACGAAAATACTACACCTTAAGACACTCGCAGGTATGTAATAATAAGTCCGGAGGATAAATTAAAATGATCATAGGTATGATCACGAGTTGACATCAGTTAGAGAAACCAGTTACTCGCCTATGAAACTGACTAGTGGCTGCGCTATATTTATAGCAAATTGGTAGAAGTTGGAACTCTCAGGCCATTGGATCGGGTCCCAGAGGCTGAATGGTCTACCAGCTCGGTTTGTAACTGGAATGTCCTGGATTCGAACCCCAGTGGATGCGTACTGTTAAAGAGTCCCAAACTAGGGTGAAATGACTGTCCAGTACTCCCTAGTTTTCCAGTGGTTCTCTAAACGATACCAGCTTGTGATCAGACCTGTAACCAATCACATCCCTGCAAACCAACACTTGAGAATTAAGATGAAACGATCAGAATGTAATACGACAATACGAAAAAAGTAACAAAATTGAACATTTGTTTACGAAGAATAAAGATTCACTCATTTTTATCACAATATGGCACACATGTGTTTAATTTTTAAGCGAATTAACAAGCGAAATAAGTTTGTTTGAACTTAAAAATAATCGTATCTAAGCCAGTTTGAATTTCTATTAAATCATCAATGGAAAGAATTGAGAATGGCTGTTAGTGAACGTTGTTCATCAACTTAGACGTCAGTGAAAAGTACCTGATGTTTTCAAAGGTCAAATTACTGTGATGCCTTTTTCTTATTGTCTTTCTCCGTCTCTGTCTTTCTGGCACAAATATACATTCAAACTAGCTAAAATGTTAGGATTCGCCTTAAATTTCCAAATACTTTTTGGGGAAATCTTGATAAGACAAAGACAAATGATCACATTTTACTAGTATCACACATCTTTAACATATCTTACCCATACATCCGTATAATCATTAGCAACAATAGCGGTACCCAAGCAACGTGCTGGATTCAAACCACTCCCAGAATATCTAGCCTGAAACAAAAGATGTCAAAAAGACGGTGAGATAACTAACTGATTTATTACTTATTTATTTTCAAATCACTATTATTAATAAACTGAAATTACTGTGGAAATCTACTGAACTCATCATTAAGAACAAGATTTTCAAGATCGGACACATGCTGAAAAAAGACCATTCTATGACATCTCATGCCGAGTCCTTGAATAGAAACCGAATGGGGAACTGCAAGCTGGACGTCCGAGACTGACGTGTAGAAGATCGTGTGAGGAGGAGGAAACGAAAGCTTGTGGGCAATCGTGGAGCCAGATAAAAAGGACTACAGAGAACCGAGTGAAATGGAAATGTGCTATTGAAGCCCTATGTTCCCCTCAATATTCAAGGAGAGAATAATAGTAATGGCACTAATTACCATTTGCTACTGTCTTTTCATTCAACTGATGTCAAGTGAAATTGATAAAACCTATATATATATATATAATATATATATATATATATAATTAGGTGGTTTGCTGAAGAAAAATGAGTGTATGAGATAAGGGACTAATTGTTTTGAAATTTGATTCCACAAATATCTAGATAAAATAGTGTCTGGAGTTCCCGGTAAATTTAAAGATTCTGAATATCATTTTGGATTTACGCACTGACAGTTTAATATGGATTTACAAATACAAATTATAAATTGGGTGTGAACAAACCTCACTAGCCTCCAGATATCAAAATTCTGTTCATTTTTCTGCTGATATCTTTCTTATTACATTCATGTACTAGTTAGTTCACCTTCTTTTTAAGACTTATTTAGGAATTCTCTCCAATGAAGTCTAAGGCCTTAAGAGAACCCCTAATGGAACAAGTAGTTACAAGAAATAGTTCGACAATTAACTGCAATAAGCTAACTTTAGGAGCTAAGAAATGAAAACGACTTTTCTGAATACTTACTGAAAAATACACCGTCCTCAAACGAGTATTATAAGTCAGCAAGTGCTTCGAAGACTTTGTGTGAAATAGCCTACAAGAAGAGTTGTCATGTGAGATAGTGTATCCTAAAAAGCGAGATACGCAGATGTGCATATCAAATACATCACTTTTCGGAAGCAGAAATGTTACTGAGAGCATTCTGGAAGAAATTAATCCAAATTTTTCATATAAACCCAATTAACGAACGCTAACACATACACATTCAAACAAAACCGGAAGTAAAACGATTGAACTGGTCACCTATAAGATACCTGAAAGTAGCCTTCCTTCACTTTATCAAATATTTTAAAATTGGATCAGAAAAGAAGATGGGAAGAATAAATATGGAATCAGTTTTAACTGGAAAATACTTTATTGAACACTAGAACCAAATGAGATTACATTATGCAGTATTCAATAATTATCGAACAACTTACCAATATTCCAACTAGTAAAGCATGCACGACACCCATTTGAAATGGTAGGCTAACAAATAAACCAGCTGTCCATGTTGACGGTCTAAATTCATCAGTTGTAGCTAGAATAGCCAATACAATTGCCATTCCACCGAAAAATTCAAAAGCAACAGCATTTCCTTGTGATACTATTGGATTTTTTGCTACAACACCAAGTTTATCCACTTGTGATAAACTGCTAGGCAATAAGGCTTTACCAATTAATGCGCCTAGAATTGCACCAATTATCTGAGCGATTATACACAGTACAGCATAAATTATTGATAATTTTCGTATAAATAAGAATGCTAAGGTTACAATTGGATTAATCTGTGCACCACTGATCGGACCAAATATCCATACAATCCAAGAAAAGGTTAAAAAGACAATTATACAATCTGATACTGGATTAGTAATCGGTGGATAGGTATACAATACCGCAACAAAACATAATGTCCCTGTACCGATCAATTCAGAGATGAATATACGAAACATAAAATAGAAATCGTATGTTGAACATTTTGGGAATTTATCCATTGCTGGTTTTATTGAGATTGGTAGATTTTGTACACAATTTGTTCTAGTATTTTCATTTGTCATTGCATATCTTTCTGTGAAACACTTACACAGTATATGTTGACGAAATGTTTTCTAAAAATGTAGAATATATATAGATATTTTAGGAATCTATAAAAAGGATAAGCATACTATATCAAATGAACAAAATTTAACATTGAGTAAATAAATAAATAAATAAATCATAACTGTTGATAACCTCATCATTACAACTAACTATGCAGAAATTTTGAAATGTATAAACCTTGTAGCTTTGCAATATACATAAAGGCTTATTTATCTACTTGACGTTTTATTTTGGAAACTGATTTCGACTTTGAACTATGTGTAAATAATTACTAAGTGTATGAAATTTCAAAAACAAAGTATGGGCTGATTAATACACAATATTATTAAGCAGTTTTCTCATAGACAGAATGAGGAAAGTCGGCTGATTTTATGAAAACAATTATGATACAAAAAAAAAATAGAATAACTACTTGAAGATATGATGTTGGCATTGAATATTGTATACCTTATCACAGCTTGCTTAAAAAAAGGTAAGAGTCATTGGAACTCACCCGGATAAGAGCTAGAAATTGTAGTTTTTATAAGAATGTAATTTTAAAAAAGGTATAAAAAGTACTGTATACTTGAGTGTATGTTAAAATGTTTTGTGTGATATCTGGCTACATCAGCTGAACGCAGATAGGTTTAAATTTTCGATGAAACTGACTGCGAACAGTTCAACTGACAAGTGATTTATCTCAGATGGAAATCAAAACAATAAGTTATATTATGGTGAATATAAAGAAAGACAAACTGATCACAGGACCCACCGTCGGTCGGTCGTTTTCGACATAGAACTTTGCACATATGTGCGGCAGTTCAAGTCGCCACACTCCATGTAGCACACAAAGGAAGAGAAGAAAGTAGGAGAAATGCATAATATAGACAGTAAACAGAAGTGCGAGACAAAGGTATAGTAATAACGAAGAAGTAATAACAAAGGTTGTTTGTATAGCGGTTAGACAAAAAGCAGCTACCCAATCCAAAACTATGATTCAAACAAATTCACAAAATATCAAGTTGGATCGGTCGAGGCCCGGATTAAAAGAGACCACGCTTCCTGCTGCCGTGTCACAGGGCAGAAGTGATAAATATGCTACTGAGACACAAGAAATGAAAACAGACCGCGTGTGACCGGCCTCAAGCAGTTGTCCCCTGGGCTTTGCGGTCACGCAACACTAACCTTTTCTCTATTTCAGGTACCCGAAGACTCAACCAACTTCCACGGTGTGGGCAGCCGGGAAGTAACAACCGCCCACACACTTCCAAAAGCACACGAAGCCTACCTGAGCATCACTCCCAGGACCCACTGTGCTTTATAATTTCGGTCGTCCTTGGAATATATTACAACGATTTAAAGGCTATAGTGAGATTCTCAAGGCATTTAATGGATGCATATTTCCCCAAAGAAGATTTATCCAAAATTTTGTAGAATTTTGAGAAAAAACTGAAGCGAAGGTATCGACGGAATAATATTTAAGGACTTATATTGTTACGGACTAGGGATTGTTGAATAAAACCTTTTACTAATTTTTCAGATCAGCCAACGTTTGTGAACACGTTCAGAGTATATTTTGGAGCTGATCTGCAGTCATGAACAAATGCACCCTAACTATGAGTAGACCAGTGCGTTGGTGGCATAGCGATTAGGACGCTCGCCGACCATGCACATGGTTCGGGGTTCAATCCCCGGCCGACGCACTCCTTTGCCTCGCTAAGCTAGAAATAATCCTGGTGAAGAGGAAAGGTTGGACATGAGGTTAGCAGCTCCATCCTGTAAATAAATAAACACTGCTATAGAAACTTCAAGCCACTAGCTTGAGCCCTATGTGGAGTGAGAAAAAAATGAGTGGACCAACAGTCGAGATAATCATGATTTTTAATCATCACCTGCGTTAATTGTTCTGAAACTGGTTACAGTCTAAGCAAATAAGAAGTAGTTATCACATCATTTCAGGTAATGTAAAACGCTCACATTCATTTGTTTGACATCCATTTGAAATAGACAGTTTACGAAGTACTTTATCGTTAGGGAGAGCCTCTTTGTTTATACCTAATCAATAGAAAGTAAATCTAATAGCTTTCTCCTGAATTTACTATTAAAGGACCAGCTTTAAAAAAATAATAATTATCGTTTTCTTTTCATTTCTTTGAGTTTCGAATAAAACACAGAGCTTTGTCCTTCAACTCTGAAGTTTCAGTAGCAGTGATGTTTGTTTACGCAATGAGGTTGTCAGTATTGCGCTCAACTTTACCTTTCATCAAGGCTTTCAATCAGTTAGTAATTTAGGTAAGGTATAAGAGTCTGTCGACCAGAAATCGAATCAAGACGATATGCTAGAACTATGTTCACTAGAAAAAGTTATCAAATTAGAATCGATAAAGATAGTTATGTATGTCAAATATCAATATCTCAAATATCACAGATATACCAATGTGTTAGGCATAGGTGAGTTTTTTAATTTTAAGAATACAACTGAAGAAAGTAGTTCCACATCAATTTGTTTGTTAGAGGTATGACAGAGTGAAATGGTACTATTCACTAGATGATGATTCGAGCATGATGGATTTTTAATAATCACATCTAAAATGATTATATTTATATTGTGTTCGAAAGGGAATTCGGTAAATAATACTATTTCACTGTGTGATGGGCATAACAAACAAACTCTTGTAGATTTATGTATCACCACACTGCCAAAGCCATGTATACATTGAAGAAAGTAGCATTCAACATCCGGCAAAATGATCACCTTGTGCCAGACTTTCAATGTTTTCACTCTAACTTCCACGAATCACCAACTCAAGTTTACAATTTAAAAATAAAGTAAAAGGCGTGAAAAGCTATGAAATGTGTTCATTTTGATTGAAATGCATAGTGGTGTTTGCTTTGTGGTAGATGGCAGTAGAGTCTAACGTTCAAATTTCATCCAACTCGAGATTAATTAGCTGGGTGTACCAGCATTTCTAGTGAGTGGTGGTAGGACTGGAAACCGGCATCCACCACTTCAAATGCCATTATCAGTGAAATGACATCATGCTATCCTTAAGGTCTCATCGAAGTATCCGAACTAGGGGCTGAGCAGTTTTGTTTATTAAAACCAGTCAATGAGGAATTCAAAATAATTTAGCAAATACAATACTTGAAATCTACTTGTAATGTAAGACAACTTATTTTGAGCTAGATGGAAGCTCTGTGCATTTGGAGACTTGACGCATAAAGAAAGCAAGTTTTAATTACCCTCTTCGTTTTACTTCCGTAAAAATTGAAAGGAAAGAGGAAAATTACAGTCAAAAGACCTTAGAGACATCAAGGGAAATGTGTTTGGAGAACTTTTATCCTTTCCAAAATAAAATTTTTTATTTTTTTTGATATTTCATTTATTTTTGAACATTTCATTTTTGCGAATGCGTCTATGCTTATGTTTTCACGGACACACGTATGTGATATCAAAATAAACAATCAGCTGCATAAACCAAAAGCAAGTTATCCCAATTGAAGATCCTAAAATAGGCGACATTTTACGGTTAGATCATTGATGAGTGAATCTCTCACCATAAAATTAAGGCATTGTTCATCAAAAACTGAAATCAGATCAATGACTACTGGAAGTTAAATAAGACAAGATCATAATTTTATTTACGGCCAGATTTACGTCTCTCTGTGAAATATTATCAGATACAATATGATGATTTTCCACTCTCTACATTTTTATTCTTGACAAAACAATAAACAGGACCAATGTAAACACTCAAATTATGACGAAAAAACAAATTTACATTTTCTGAATGATGAACAGTGATAATCACTGAGAAATTGCCTCATTTCATTAAAAGAAAAATACATAAATTTACACTCATTTCGCATATTTTTCACATGTAACATGTCATATGTATTTTTTTTAAATCTTCCTATCAAACACTTGTAAAATAAACGTAGAATTATGTATGCAGAAGAACTTTGATCAATTTATCATACAAATAAGCTTTTATGTTTACACACTCTGACTGATGAATACTTTAACGTGAGATTAGACAAAAAACAGTCAACTGAACATTTCTGAAAACAATCTTGTTCTACTTTGCTTATTCATTAGGCAATTTAAAGTGATTCATTTACGTGAAAAAAGAAGAGTTTACTCTGAACAGCTTTGAAAGTTTCTGCTGTTATAACCACTATTAAAGTATAATGCATTTTATGATAAGGGACTTAAATATTCTATCTACGAAATGAACCGTTAGGTGATGGTCTTTTATACAATCGTTTACAATGGTTTACTAACCGATGTCAGCTCATAATGAAATCCTGTAACCAGTCAATCAAATCCCTACAAACCAATACTTGAATATCAATTAAATGCGCACTAGCGACTGGCTCTATTTAGATAGGTCCAATTGGGAAGTCATGACCAGTAGGATGCAGCAGGTCGAATGTGAGGACAAATACTTGCTGGCAATGACACTGGCAAGCGGTCGCGCTATGTTGTGAATTGGCAGAAGTTAGAATTCATGGGCCAATGGATCGGGTCCCAGTGGCTTAAAGCTCTAGACTTGCTAGCTTTTTAACCAGAAGGTTCTGGGTTCGAACCCTGGCGGTGGGTGTGTACTGTGAGGAGTCCCGAACTAGTATGAAACAGCTGGCTGTCCAGTACTCCCAGGTTTTCCAATGATTCTCTAACTGATGTCAGCTCATGATGAAATCCTGTAACCAACCAATCAAATCCCTACAAACCAATACTTGAAAATAAGTTAGGTGGTAAACATTAGAGGTTACCAACTACTTTAAATAGAATGTGAGTTATTTCCCTTTGGACAATACGAAGTTATCCAATAAGCACTTTGGCATAAATTGGTCTTAAAATTCTGAGTTCGGGAAAATTCTGTTGATTTTGGAGCCTATATCTTCACTCACCGATATGAATTAATAAACCATTGAAAACCAAAGAGGACTGGTCAGCTATTTTCACTTATCTGGG